ATAGTGTATCAGAAAGACTCCTAAATTGATGCCCTTCATAAAAAAACAGATCTGATGTTTTCAAGTGATAAAGTACAGATGCCGTATGTGAGCACCTCTTTTTACCAGCTCACCGGTTTTTCCATCCTCTCTCTCCCGTCCCAGGTATCTCAGGCCATTCTTTTCCAGAGGGCTACAGACTGTCCTTCCCAACACGGACAAGCTACATGCACGCTGTTGTGAAACACTCCGTGCCAATGCTGCGGGCCTTCACCCTCTGTCTGTGGCTGCGACCCGCAGAGGGACGCATCGGGACGCCTCTGTCCTACGCTGTTCCAGAGCAGCCCAACGAACTGGTGCTGCTGCAGGGCCTGCACTCTCCAGCTGAGCTGCTCATCAATGACAAGGTATCGTATCGGTCCATCCTTCAGCTGCAGGGAACTGTGTCAAGAGAACATCTACTGTATGTCTGGCCTGTCCACTGCTTGGGCTGGTTGAATAGGAGAAAACCTACAGTGTATAATGATCTATAAATGGGTTATATTTCAAATAACTGATTTATTCAATTATTAATTTAAAACAAATCTCAGATCTGTGTTCCACATGAATAGAATGGAAAATATTTTTTATATACATACAGTAAATATTCATAGAAACTTAATTATGTAGCTAATTATTGAATATTGACAATTATTGCGCAATATATTGAACACCATACTGGCAATATATTTCTCAGTGTTTTAGTTACAAAGATATAAATCTGTGCTGGCAGTAAGTGTGCATGGAGAGACGACACCTTGGCATGTATTGTAAATGAGGAGTTCCTATGTATTTTAATATGCAGATTGTTTGATCAATGAATGAGCTAATGTAGTATCAATAAGACACAAGAAATGTAACGTTTCCCAATTATTTGAAATTGTGCTGATGAAGCCTTTGCATTAGAAACTTGTAACAGGGAGCTGATGTGCTCACGTGGCCTAAGTCAGGGACCGTTTTTGTTTTCAGTGCATTGTTAATATAAAACAGGGGTTAGAATAGAGAGAGATTTAATTGTTAATAACGGTCCTGGTCAGGCACAGTGACTGAAGTCTGGGTAAATTATTATCACCACAGAATCATACTAGGAGAGTTTCACTACGGCCTCTACAAGGCTCACCTGCATTTAAATGTTTTGCCTGTAGTAGTGTATAACAGCCTTGGTTAGAATTTACAATGTCCCCAGAAGAAAAAGTGCACTGTATTAGTATGCAAATAAGTAGAAGGCATCAAATAAAATGACCAGTTTAACAGCTAAGTAACCTCATTCATATGTTATAATGGCAAACTAAGGCTCCACCTTGACAGTACTGCAGAGTGGTTTAGTGCAGTGGTTATAGGTATTGTTCAGTGAAGTCATTATGGTAATAGATGCCTAGAGGAAAAGTTGTCTTTGTAGGCAGCAGAATGTCTTTGTGAAAAGCTGTAGAACAGCTGACAATTGAACCTTACAGCCTGATTGAAGGCTTACAGAGAGTTGTAATGTCAAAGGGATGTAAGATACTGTATGTGGCCATACAGTTGCATCACTGTCATGTGATTACCATTTCACCACCACTTGCCACAACATGTGTTGCCTACAAAGTCTCCAGAATATCTATTTTATCTGACCCGTCCTTCTCCTCTCCCTTTTCCTAGGTGGCACAACTGCCTCTGAACCTCTCCAGAGGCAGCTGGCAGCACATCTGCATGAGCTGGAGCCAGAAGGGAGGAGCCTGGCAGGCCTACCAGGGAGGCAAGCTGAGGGGAGAGGGCCATGCGCTGGCAGCTGGACATCACATCAGACCTGGAGGAATGCTCATACTGGGGCAGGAGCAGGTGAATGCATGAATGAATGAGTGGAAAAATGTTTTAACTGATTAGAGGAGGGCAAGGTTGGAAGAACTTTAATATGGTGTGCCCTTCAGACTGCTGACTACAGCACTGCCAGCAAATAATGCTATACCCACTGCAGATGTGGTCTACTCAGTTACTGACTTCTCTGTGAGCCAGAAAATATGTAGTAAATAAAACTAGCAAATAAAATCGCCTTGGGACCCTTGGTGGACATAAATCTACAAAATCAGTTTAGCTTCGAGCGCAATGCAAGTCAGAATGTTCAGGTGGTTGGTGAATGAGATGTGTGTGTGTGTGTGTGCATTCAGGAAATAAATGGCCATAACATCAGGGGTAAAAGCCTAGGGATCCCTCATCAACAGCCAAAAGAACCCCTCCCATATGGCTTGTTTGTTTCGTCGTCCTGCTTTCATACCAGACACTTTTTATCACATCGCCTTCATCTTCCCAAAAGCAAGTGCACAGTTTTGCACAGCACATCAAAACAC